GGAGTTTTCTGGGATTTATCTACGTCTGTAATGCCTAAATAGGGGCCAGTTTCCCTTAAAAACACCTCCCAGAAGGCATTTCACCCTAGTCAGATCGCCCAAGTGTTGCGTTGCCATAACTTAACAATGAAACAAACTCTTTCCGTAAGGAACAAGAAATTGATCTAAAGATTGTCTTACTCTTTTAATCAAAATTTTTCTCAAATGCGATAACGCATTGTAGTTTATATTGCGTGGTCGTTTTCTATTGCCACTATGACTTTTTTCTTTCTTTGATACCATATTGATTAAATATATAAATCACAAAGCTGAAAAAAAGAAGTATAGCACAAACACTCAGAAAAGCAATGCTTAACTCGCGCATGCCTAACACCAACTAAAATTTGACACAATATACCATTACGTTCGTTATCCGAATTTTGTTCGTTATCTGAGACAAAATTTTTGCAAAATAAAAGTTCGTTAACCGATTTGGTCGTTAACCAGGACGTTCGTTAACCGGTGTACAAAGTAATAATAATAGGCATTATAACTTATTTATTTATAACCAAAATCAATGATTCAATTTTTATACTGCCACTATATTGATCTCATACAGAAGTGCCATTGGATGTAGCTTCAGTTCTGTGATGATGCTCCTGTTTCAGGGTCATCTATCAATGATGGCTAAGTTTGTTTGCCTTTGTAAAATATTTGCTGTATTTGTTGGGCTGCAATTTGAAAAAATTGTAGATCTATAAATTTTCACTGTTGTTCATCCATCTGTTTGTCCTTCATTAATTTCAAGAATGGTGTTAGATAGATGAACTTTAAGACCCCAAATATGGAAAGCTTAGGGGCAGGAGGCCCAGGAGGTTTACTATATGTGAACTTCCAGTCTAGACTGGAAGTCATGTGAATTCAATTCAAAAATGACCAGCATGATTCTGTTGTTATCTGAAAGTATGATGTACAGGAGCAAGACACTACAAATTTGAGATGGAGAATATAATTATATTTTAAATTCAATAAATTAAGAATATGATTAAAAATTGCAGCCCAACATTATGACCATATCTCAATAAATAATTGCTTGTCAAAAGCTGTTTGCCATGCCTTTTCCTCTCCTCAAGGATTTCATAATAAGATAATAAGGCTTCATTTAAACTCTGTCTTACAGAGTAACTTCACTCCTAATAAGGCTCCATTTCACAACTCTTCAATGAGTTGGCATTAGCAAGAAATTGTTTAAGGCAGGGGTGTCCGACTCGCGGCCCAAGGCAAGTTCCAATGCGGCCCAATAAACGTGTAAACAAAGCCGACAAATGCTTTAATTTTTTATTATTTATTTATTTCAACGGCATAAACTCAAAAAAAAGTTTCACAAAGCCGCAAACCTTTATTCGTATTTTATTTTTGAGTGGAAAGAAAATATTTTCAAACACTGTACTTGGAGATGTGTGAATGCGAAAGGATTACTAAATAAAGCTGGAGTTGTGACTCAAAGGATTATAGACCCAAATTTGGAAAAAGGAGGGAAAGATGAGAAAGGACAAAAGATGTAGTAGTGAGAAAGGTTAAATAGATCTTCTGTTCAGCAAATATGGACCCGTAATTTTTCAACTTTTTATACTTCTTTATCTTTTGTCCTTTGTCTCTTTATCCCGCACTTGGGTCTATAATCCTTTGATTCACAACTCCAGCTTTATTTAGTATTTCTTCCAACGTTGCAAGATTTGGCTACATTGGGCCAAATGTGGCTACTTTTTTTTGTTTGACGTAAAAAATATCATTTGGCGCTTTGGCTACTTTTTCGGCTACATATTATTTATAATTATATTAATTGAATAAAAATGCACTTTAAAATGGTGTTTCGTCGCTTTTTATTAATTAGAGACCCAAATAAAACAAATATTTGTGTTTTTCAAATAAATTTTCTTTAGTCTCTTTTATAATAAATGAATTTATCTATTTCTAAGTAAAAATTGTAGGTGTCTGTAGAAGTAATTTTTTAAAATATCCTTTTTCTTGATAAAGTTTTAATACTTATTATTATAATCTAGACATGTTAATTTTTTAATATACTTGTATATTGGGCCACAAGTATATATTATATATACTTGTGGCCCAAAACTCCTTGACTTCTTCCAATGTGGCCCAGAGAAAGGTTGGACACCCCTGGTTTAAGGGCACAAATATTTTCTTTACATATCACACTAGCTCATCATTGTCTCCTCTTCTCTTTGTGCATCTAAATATTCTACAAAATTTACTAATTCTTCTACATAAATATTTGCATTTAGCATTCAAAGAATATTCTACATTTAAAAAAAATTTTTTTGTTTTTTGAGAAATTTTGGGGAAAATTTGAAAACCAGTGTTGTTGTGAATTGGCATAAATCAAACTGACTTAAAATGGGGCATATATATGAATGACATGTCTTCAGTATTTTTGTGGATAAAAATTAGAGAGGTTGCAGCTGAAGTTTTTGTGAATGTCGAACGTCACTTACAAGATAGCCAGCATTCGACGTTCACATATGAGAGATGAAAACTTTGGCCGCAACCTCGCTAACAAACAAAAGGTAAACTGCTGAAGATTAAATAATTATCCTATCTAAATATTATTGAAAATTTTAAACATGTTAAAAAGTAATATCAATATATTTGAAAAATAATCTTAAAAGTTTAATGATTAAGCATATTATTCAAAGAAATTTTTCTGGAATTATTAATTCATTAAATATTAAAACAAATCTCAAACCAATATATATAGTTTTAAATACAAAAATTATATACTGTATTGAAAATTTATTTGTAGTTACATTGAAAATATATGTAAAATGTTAAAGGGACAACAAAACAGGACACTTATACAGTTCGTCCAGTGAAAAGTTCATACTTATGTCTAGGCTAATAATATTTTATCCTATAAAACAGTTTCAGGACAAATCAGACAAATCTGATGATGTCACTGAGCTAAACAACTTTCTCCAAAGAAGAAAACGAACAATCATTTTCTAATGATGATCTACCAGCCACGAATTGAATGTTAAATATTCAATAAAAAAAAACCTCTTCTTTATTATGTTGGGCTAATTTAGAGTATAAATGATGACTGATATGAAGTTCTTGTATATATTCCTGGCAGAAATTTTTCCAAATTTATTTTTTCATTGGATGATGATGTAGACATCATTCTCTGAAGATGTGATTCTGAAGTATCCCAAAACAAGCAGCATGAATGGAACTACACTGATGTTAAAGCAGTTGCACTCTTCACATTTACTTAAATACTTTTATGAACCTAAACTAAATATCAGTTTTTACAAATTGTAAAAAACGTGTTCATCAATAAAATAATGTTATTCAGTATTAAATCCACTATTAATAATTATAAATTATGGTCCATCAGCAGCCAGAAACTATAAATAGGGGCTAAAAATTTTTGCCATATTTTTATTACAAAATTTATAATAAAAGCAATTACTTTTCTATAATACTATTTTCAGTCTTTCTTTATTCTTGGCCATTATGTTAATCGCTTAACTTTTTTCAATTTTGTTTTGAAATTGACAGTTTTTTCGATTTTTAAAATTCTCTGTACAGAGGCAATTGCCTCCCTCTGATAACACCACTGTGCCCATAGTACCATATTTTTGGGATATAATGGGCCACGGATAGCCCTTCAAGATTTCATTTTCGAGGGAAAAAACATTAGTTGTCAAAAAATTTTTCTATTACAAGAGCATTAATTACAGTACTATGTCAAGTTTTTCAATTTATGTCTAAATTCTTTTTGAAAATAAATTTAAAACGTAAAAAGTTGTCGACGGTATTCCATTCCTCTACTCCTGGATCCTCTTGGAATAATTTAAAATTGAAACATTATTAATTCCTTTGTTTAGGAAATATTTAAACTTTCAAAATTTATCTCATCAATACGATTTTTTTTCTATTTAGATAATAAAGCGAGCCAATGATCTCATGTTAATTCATATTTTAAAGTAGTATATAGAGTATTTAGTCAATTGATTACTATTTTATTAAAATTTCGTATAAATTTTTGTGACGACGTTATTTCTACTACAATGATGATTTAATTTTTTCAAACTTGTTAAGCTTTTATAAAATATTGCCGTTGTGTTTTAGTTTTTTTTTTTTTTTTAAACTTTGTCATACAAACAAGAAAATGAAAGATTTGAATCGAATTTAAAATTATAACTCGTTTTTGTTTAAAAAGTCGTATAACGTGTATTATGGCCGTCGTAGCAAACAGGTAATTACGACAAACGAGCGGCCATTGAAGATTTTTCGACGAATGAGAAATTTCGAACGGTAAAGATCGATAAAAAAGAAGAATAAAAAACCGCAACTCTGACCGAGCCGGAATGTGCGTCGAAACTAGGATAACCAATGAGAACGCTCAACGAAGCGTCCTACGGGACCGACCGAAATGCGTAGTAGACGATCCGTGTTCTTAGCGGGCGAGGATTCGATCGGACGGTTTGGTTAAGGGTACGTACTCCTTACGCCTATTTATTTCCCACTTTCTCGCCTTATTTCGTGCCGAACTCCGCCGAAATGCGTGGCCCGACCCACGTCTGGCGACCATCGGCCCCACACACGGACAAAAACGCGCACGAAACGTATATTGTCGGGACGTGTACCCGGCTTAATAAGCGATCGAACTACGTGTTTCCATGCATCTGCGTTGGTTCCACGTACGTACTTAAAGAGCGATAAAACGATATTGTGTAGCCAATTTTCGTAAGTTTGGGCAATTTAAATATCACGATGTCTGCTTTTTTTATTCATAACATTTTGTACTGGTATAATTTGGGGTTTTAAAAAAATATAGTGGTTTGAATAAGTAGTTATGGAAGTGATGTCAAACGAATATGTTCGGGATTTTTTTTTTTTTTTTTGGAGTTGCTGGCAACTGATTTTGTCAGAAACGAATCGGTAGCAGAGAAAAAGTTTGGGTGGAAAAATAAACGAGGTCTTGTGTGTCGTTTCAGGAGAGTCCCGACCGAGAGGACCGCAAGGATAACGGAAGGAAAGGACGAAAGCCGGGAAGAAAATCGGCAAAGGTCGACATGAAGGCGAAGCTGGAGAGAAGCCGTCAGAGTGCCAGGGAGTGCAGGGCTCGGAAAAAGCTCCGTTATCAGTATCTGGAGGAACTGGTGGCCAACAGGGAGAGGGCGGTTCTGTTGCTGAGGAAGGAATTGGAAATGGTATTGTGGTTTTCTGTCGTGTCACGTGGTTGCGCCGGGCTCGATAATTATTTTTCTGTCATTTCAGTACAGGCAGTGGTGTAGGGAATTGGATGAGGGAAGGATTCCGGAGGGTGCGCTGAAGATGGTAGAGAAAGAAAAGAAAGAGCAGTTGGAAAATATAAAGAAAGAACAAGAAGCCGAGAACAGCGTGTAATTTATGTGACTTTTCCTGATCAAAACATATATGTACTGTACATTTAAATGCAAATTTAATAGAAAAAATTGTAAAAGTATATTTATTGTTAAATATTATTATCGTGAATAAATTTATAAAGATGTGTTTAAAGTAATCATTGTAAATATAAAAATTATTATTTAGAATATGAATAAAAGATTACATTTTCTAAAGAATTATTAGTTGTAAATTATGTTTAAATCAGAATTTACATGTGATAGCTCCAGATTATCTTTTGTCTATAAATATATTTATAAAATATTTTGACAATCTGTTATAATACAAAATTTTAATTCCTATATAAGTACACAATAATAATAATTGAGATTACTATTTTGTGCGCTTATATCAAAATTTTTAACTTCTTGACATTATTATTAGATTTATTATCAAACTTACAATTGAATGTGAATTCAATATTTAAAGCTTCTTTTAACTTAAAATACAAAGTTAATGCAGTAAATGATTAATATTATATAAGAAATTCAACATCACCTTAACACTGGGGGTGAAATCAACACTATATCCAGAACCTGCTACCGGTGTATATCGTGAGAAAACCTTTCTTCACAAACGTTTTCAAACTTTTAAAATAGTTCTTCCTCAGGTAAAATCCGATGGAATGCTTCAAAAATAAAACATAAAGGTTTAAAACAAAATCGAATGCTTGTTTGACGAAACCTGTTGTGATGGGCATGCACATTCATGTGTGGACGGTGGTATTTAAAGGCCCTCATCTATAAGGGCCTGCCATGCTACCAATAGATTAAGTTCATCCTTTCCATTGATACAGGTGGTCACATGGCTAGCTCTGTAGATGGATATGGCTTTTAGCTATTTTAGATGTTCTAGATGGGGTGTAGTGATGATGACATCAGCTTTCTCAAATTCTGCCTCTATGTCCAGATCAGATGCATATGTGGCCAGGGCAGTAGTGTCAAAGGTCCGCTTGGTGCTCATGTATTCTGGTATTTAAGGAACACTTGGTGGAACTAATACATCTAAGGTTCTTGTCCCATCTGTCATCCTTGAGTGGGATGGAGTACACACTGGGAAGTCTTTTCCATTTTCTGAGGATGTCAAAGATTGTCGGACATCTATATGCTATCTGCATTTGATGTTTGCTGGTGATTTCTGCGTATACTGCTTTAACATATGGGTTAAACGTGACTGTCCAGATCAGTGCTGGTCCTTGCATGTGTGGTGGGTGTGTATTGTGAGCGGTGATGTTGCTCAATCAAGTGGTGTGTCAGAGTAGGGTACCGTATCTGGCTGCTATCTTAACATATGCTAACTCAGTGGATGAGTGGGAAAATGCCCTTCTAACCAAAGTATTAAACACTGCAGCCTTATATGAGAATGGGTCACATGAACCCACCGGTATGTATGTAGAGGCGGCACATGGTTTGTGGTATATCAATATGAGGATGGTAGATCCTTCCACTTTAATGTTTATGTCCAAAAAATGGACTTCAGTGCTGCTAGATTGCTCAATGCCTACTGTTAAGCCATATGGGTTGTCATTAATGGCTTGCACAAAAGCTGAGATGTCAGGTACCGTCTTCCACATGATGAAAATGTCATCTATATACCTCCTGTAGAGCATGATGTTTGGGAGGAATGCTGTCTAATGACCATTTCGTAAAGGTCTCTGGACACTGGGCTACCCATGGGGACGCCTCTTTTTTGCTTGTAAATAACTCCATCGAATGCAAAGAAAGAATTATAATAGATCAGATGGGCCATTTCAAGTACTTGTTGGTGTAGTGGTTGATTAATATTATGTTAATACAACAGTTTTTTTTAATGCTTATGTTATGAATCTTTTGTGTGCTAACATTTTTTATAAATTATATTTAAGAGTTTAACATTCTAGAATATTGAATATTTTGTTCATTGAGACAACCTAACCCAGTTTATTTTAAAGCCTCTTTTTTGTTTTTCAAATATTTAATTGATTAGAATCATAGTATTTGTATTCTTTGAATTTTAAATAGTAAATATGTATTATTAAGAATAATAAGAGGAAAATAATTTATTTGCCTTTAAATTTATTGAAAAACGATTATTTAATTCATCTCATCATCTGACAAAATGTTTTTAGATATTCTTATCTAATAAATTAGTATTTAATCTCTTAAATAAAATCTATACCAAAGAAAATATTTGTATGCTATATTTTTAAAGTTTATAAGAATACTAAAAAATGCTATTTTTATATATTAAATAAATGTAATAAAATAAAATACATATACTAAAATTTAATTCTAAGCTTCCATATTTAATAAATCTTACATATAGTTGTGCTGTTCTGAAATAAAGTGTAAGAATTAAATCTCAAAACATATATTTAATTATGCAAATTGTTTTAAATGCTTTCAGCTATTCATTATCATAATTTTGTGTACAGGCAGTCAAATACAGTACTTTAATTGTATTTTTGAATTACATAAACCAGTTTTAGAGACATGTTAAGAATATAGAATTTATAAGCAGAAGTATATCAAATTTTACTTTTTTAGATTATGGACATTGTGTTGTATTATTGAATAAATAGTAAAAAATTGAAATTGTTTAATGAAAAAAATTTAGAACATCTTATATTCATATTTAAATAAAATTTCAAGTTCCTAAAGAATTTTGAGTATTTTCATGTTATAATTTGCAATACAAATTCAAATAATAAATATGAAATTTTGAATGGAGTAATAGGTACTGTATATGTTTTAGCAAATATCTTGTTAATAACATGTTTTAATAATCTTGAAACAACTATAATGTAGTTGGAGTAGGAGTGATTTCCATATGCAATTAAAAGTTTTTATGCATGTGAAAAGTATGGCAATGAAGATTAGTAAAAATACAAAATGGAATTAACTTGTAGAATAGGTTTTTAATAATTGTATGTATTAATATGATTATTACTAATAAGATAAAGCTGTAATTTATTTTAAAGAATATATAGTTTTATCAATTTGTTCAATATATTTTTGTAATTCCACTTAGAATGACAAAGTTTATATATACTTAAAATGAAAAAAATAACTGTATGCAAAACATTATTATGTATAGTGTTGACTTATAATTATTAACATATCTGAATTTCTTTAAGATAAGTTAACAGTAAAATATATTTGTAATAATAGTTATCTGAATTTATTATATTATATTACTATATTTACATAATGTATAACTTACCTGTATATGGTAATATAAATTGGAGGTTTCCGACCTTTTTTACTTATTGACCCCTTTCTATACTGATACAAAATAGTAAATTACAAATATAATGAAACATAGTAATCAAATACCAATTTGTAATTTCTTTACTCACAAACAAGTACTGTACATAATTTTAATTATTTACTTTAATAAAATTTAATGTGAATTATTATTATTATATATTATTTTTAAATATAATAAAAATAAATTTGGACTGTATACAATCCTACTAATTTATTGACCTCTCAAATAAGTTTAATGACCTTTTGCTACTAAGTTGGGAGCCCCTGATTTAAATAATATTTTAGAAATAAATTTTTGTAATATATTTTGTTGTTATCATTTTTATTTTTATAAGTAAAATTATTTTTGTATGCTAAAAGTTTATATAAACTAAAGCAAAATATTATACTACTACAGTAGAATTCCAAAATAATCATCATGTTTAACATTCTTTGTCTTTTCCTAGATTTAATTTGATCATTACATAATATGAGATAAATTCAGATAACTTGTGTTAATCTTATTTATTATGTATTTCCTTATTTCTTCATCTCAATTATCTTATAGAGCACTTCAATATCTAACGCTTTCATTATTCCTATAGGACAGATAGAAGTATAACATGCAGCACTTTTGTGCAGCAGACTGTCAGTTGTTATCTGAATTGAAATTGATTTGCTGCATGTAAAAGTAGTGTTATAATTGACCTTATTTCATAAGTTTGTAATACAAATTTTTTCTATCTTCAAAAATTAAGTATTATAGTGAAAAGTTCAAATTACATAATTTTGTTTGAATCCCAAAAATTCAGTGTAATATCATTGATCACTTTTGACTCACTATTATAAATTTAAACACATAAATAAATATACTCTTTTATTAATTTGTATTTCTTTATAATTTTGTATGAATTTTAAAGATTATACAAAGTGCTTTGTAGCATTTATCAATTAAACAATATTTAAAATTTTATTTATATTGAAATATTAGCATTTTTATTTATCATATTTTACTTGCAAATCCCTATTGAAGAAGAGTAGAGCTGAATGTCTTAGAAAACCCATTCATATAGTCAAAGCACAAAAGTTGATCAGTTTTGAGAACAGTGTATATATTTTGGATCAGGTTTTATTGACAGAGATTAATGCTACAGTTGTTAACCTATCAGAAGAGTATCTCAAAAGGAAATACTCAATTTATGGATGTATTTTATTGGCAGCTTCATAGAAAGGATCATACCTTCATGGGATGATATACAAGTACATCTTATGGTGGCAGATTCTCTCAATTTTGGACCAAACTTTGACCCATGCAAGGAGCCTGCCTGGTATGTTACACCTGAAGTTGAAAGAGTGAAAACACTGGATTATATTATAGTTTTCAGAAAATTTAAATATTAATTTTAAAACTTAGACAAATCCAAACTANGACAAGAGACTTAAATATGCAGAAAGCATGAAAAATACACAAGACCAACCAGGAAGGACAAGCAATAAACTTTAGAGAATCAATTAGTCTCAGCAGCATGGAGAGCAGGCATAATCTGAATATTTAGTATGAAAAAGGGACATTTGTACACACTCGTTGAACCTTTATTCCCAGTACTGATTAGATTTCGGAACAAAAAGTGACGAATGGTTAAAGAATTAGGCACAGTTGTGCTACTGTTTTTATTTATTTATTATGGTATTATATTTATATATATATTGTATTTTTATTTACTAGACATCTATGAAAATTCAAACATTTAAAATTGTTCCAAAACAAATTTCATTTTATAGAAATCATTCGATTTTTTATTCCTGAAGAAGGTCATTCAAATGGCCAAAAACATTTGAAAAGGTAATAAAAAAAAAAGGCTGAATATTAAAGGTTTTTGTCAAGGTTTGGTTGTT